GTTCAGAGTCAGGAAATTTGAATCGCACCAATCTTTTATTTTACCCAGATCCTCACTTACGTAATTTGCCAATTCAGTCTGGTCTCTTGAGTGCCACAAGATCGTAGCATCATCAGCAAACATGGTAAAGGAACCAGATATTTCCAAAGTTGCCAAATCGTTTATATACATTAGGAATAACAAAGGTGGTTAGAGGTACAACATATCAAAAATTCAAGCGATTTTACCGAAACCACTCCTCAATGTAATATGTGCATGTGCATGGTCCTTTTCGTGATTTTGTTTCCATTAAATTTGTCATTTGGAAATGATGTCAGGGTTATTTTCGACTAATTTAGACCCGCTCTATCGATTAGAAATCTCGAATTCGGAAAATATAAAAAAATATATATTTTTTAATACCTTTGGATTCTTATTTCAAAAGCTTCAAGCTTCAATATCTCGAAATCCAAATAAAAACGATTTAATTATTAAGTAGTACTTGCTATAAAATAATGCGTTTGACAAAGACAAATTTATTTATTTTTTATTTTGATTTGATTTTGATTTGATTTATGAAGAAAACAAACGATATGACAAAGATGAGTATCTCCATACAAATTAACATACTTTTTTGATTGAAGTGTTGTTTTGATACACTATTCCATTAAGGAAGTCAAAAACTAACAAAGAAATAAATAAAAAATCCACAGCCATATTTAAAAAATTAAGTTGATGATGGTTGCCTAAAAATGAAACAAATTTGATACTGCCGTATTGTGAAGGAGAACAAGTGGCAATGATGAGGTGCCATTTATTTTGAAGTATCTGTTCGAATAAACTCAAGAAAAAATAAAAACGATTTTGAAAATTTCGGTTTTTAAAATCAAAGCATATTTTCAATTAAACCTAATTTTAACTTATTTGAAAATACAAAATTTTAGAAATTTTATAGGTATTACCCCTAATATTTGAAGAGACAAGAAATAATTTTTGTTGGTGCTCACTTTATTTCTTCTATTTTGGTGTCATATCGAAGTCTTTTCGACACTAAAAGTAGTTTCGAAAAGAAGCTCTTTGTGACACTCCTTTTTCACTTATCGGAGGTTGGTTACACTGGCTGACTGATGGCCATCGAACTGTCATTCGCGATTTTATAATAGAAGATTTCTATATTTGGCATTTCCAAGAAAAATTTGTTTTTTTTTAATTAAACAATACCAAAATAGAAAAAATAGTATAAAATATTCGTTTCATAAGACATTTTATCTCACTCGCCCTTATATGATATAGGGCTCGTGCGATAAAATGACGTCTTATGAAACTTGTATTTTAATGTACTAATATATCAAACACTTTATTAGCAATAAAAAGCTCTTACAAAATGATTTTATGAAATATTTTAAACCAGTAGGTATATACCCAACATGGAATGTCTGGAAAAGTATTCAACAAAGTCTATAAAGTTCTCACATATTTTTTACATTCAGTCTTAAATCTAGAGTAGGAGTCACATTGCTTCAATTCTGCGGGTATACTGTTAAACATTCTTAAGCCTACACTAAACAAAGTGTCACTCTGAAAATCACTAATGTAAAAATTATTTACCACACTGGATCGCGTTTGGTATGAATGAACATCTCGCACATAAGTAACTTCATCAGATAAATATGATGGTAACATATTATGTTTTAGTTTGAAAACAAAAGTTAGCATTATGTAAGTAGATCTTTGTTGTACATTCATAAGGTCTAATTTCTCCAGCATGGATTTTATTGGTGTTCTTTTGTTACAAAGTAATATTGCTCTCATGCAACGATTTTGCAGTTTTTGTAGCATGTCTCTTTGAGTCAAACTTAGATAATGATACAATGTACCGCAATATTCAAAATGAGGAGCAATTATTGACTTAAAAATTGTGAGTTTAGCGAAAAGTGAAATCTTGTTATTCAATCTGTAAAGAAAACCTGCTTTTTTTGCTATTTTCTTTTTTATGTAGTCACAGTGCAAGGATAGATTAGGTTCGGGATCCAGCATTACACCCAAATATTTGAAAGATTTAACCTGTTCTAAGATATCGTTATTCATAATTATTTTTACTGCTGCATTAGTACTTTGTCTTCGAACTTGATTAAGGCAATGTTTAGAACCAAGAATCATGAATTTCGTCTTTGCAACATTTAGTTTTAAACCATTTTCTATGAGCCACACATCAATATTTTCAAGATCTTTGTTTAACAGTTTTTCCATTAATGTTATTCCATCAATATCACAGACAAAATAAAGCAAAGTGTCATCTGCGAATAATTTTATTTGACAATGTTTGACATGAAGAACTATATCATTGATGAACAACAGGAAAAGAATAGGTCCCAATACTGAACCCTGAGGAACCCCTTGATCTATGCCTATGCTATTGGAATTGGCATTTTTAAATTTAACCTTCTGAAATCTCCCACTTAAGTATCCTTTGAACCATTTTAGTACTATGCCTCGAATACCATACTTTGCCAGTTTTAGTAACAAAAGATCAATGTTTACTGTCTCAAAAGCTCTACTGAGATCCAAAAATACTACACCAATGACTTTTTTCTTCTGTATTTGAGATTTCCAACCTGATATCAAAAACTGCAAAGCCGTTTCGCATGAATGTTTTTGTCTGTATCCTGATTGTTGCTCTACCAAAATATTATTTCTATCCAAATAATGAAGCAGCTGATCCTTCACCAGCAATTCCAAAACCTTTTCATAAACTGGTAATGTGTTTATGGGCCTATGCTCTGAACAAAGTATTGATTTTGGGACCTTTTCGATTGGGACTACAGTGGAACATTTCCAGGCATCAGGAAAAACTCCCTGTGATAGAGATGTATTTATCAAATCTAGGAAAAATTCTCCTGCAATATCAAGAGCTAATTTAAGCGTGTTCAAGTCGATTCCGTCTTGATCACTGGAGCCCTTCCCCATGCCTAAAACTTTCAAGGATAACATTTCCCAGTCAACTGATTGAAAGCTGTCGAAGGAACAACCAATTTGTGACATTCTTTCCAACACAAAATCTAAACCCTTTACATTTTTTGTTGATTTCACTAAGTCTCTAATGCTGTTTACAAAATAAGTGTTGAAATTATCTGCTATTTCCTGATCATTTTCCAAAATTACAGCTTCAAATTTTATTTTAGATATTTTTTCAACTTTTTTACCTGAAACTAACTCCTTTATTGCTTTCCACATATTTTTACTGTCATATTTATTATCATCAATTTTTTCCTCATAGTATTTTCGTGTTTCATGTCTCAATTTGGTTGTTACTTCATTTCTCACAATCTTGTAGTTGTTCCAATGTTCCTCAGTTCTTGATTCCTTTGCTAACCTAAATAACTGATCTCTATATTGTAAACTCATCATAAGATCATAGCTGAACCAAACTCTTAGCTTAAAATTATTAAAATTATTAATTTCCTTAAATGGAGCGTGAACATTAAGCGCATCCACAATATTTCTTGTGAAAGTACCTGCTAAAATATTTATATCTTGACTACCCGATGACCAATTCAAAGTAAGCAAATATTGTTTGAAGTCATCTTTATGAAAATTTGAAAAGTTTCTTCTTATAATTACTTCTTTGGCATTATTTTTGGGTTTATTTATTTATTTATTTATTTACGTCCAGGGATACTAAAATATTTGAATGGTCCGATACTTTCGGTCTATATATGCCTCAGAGCTTGTTTTTTGGGAATTTCTTCTTGCAGAATTCTAGAACAAAAAAAGCCCAAAATTCTGGTCGATTTTTTTGTGATCTGGGACAGTGGGGGTGTCAGGTTGACTACCACCTTTACAAGGGAATTGTTTTTTAAGTAAAAGCTGCTTGTTCAACGCACACACTCGGCTAGGCTAGAAAAAAGTTTTTTCAAAGTGACTTTTTCAAAGACAATCTAAGTTACATGGTTGCCATTGAAAGGTGTAATTCTCTAAATTGTAAATACATACAGATATAAAAGGTACAAAGTCCAAATAGGACTATAGGCATTTAAAAAAAAAAAAAATTCTTTATTATTTCATAGTAGCATAATTATTGAGAAACGCTTTATTGAAGCTTCTATTACCTTTCCGATAATTAGAAAGTTCAACCATGAAAAAGGAATCCTGTACCTTATACCTATTACCCTTATGAAATACAATCTGGCAGAATGTTCCAAGAAATGTTTACTGACCTACTTGAAAATAAATAAGTATAATGTAATTGATCCGCTTCCTGGTACTGTTATGGATTTAAATTCAATTATTTCATCATCCTATGGCAAAAGAAGTTACAGTTAAATTTAATCTAAGATAAAAAAAGTGCAATCTTGCTGGTTCCCAAACCTATGTATTATATTTGGCAAGCTGTTGAAAAATAAATAGAGTTGAACAAACCATAATTATGTAGTTTAATTTTTTCCAAGTGACCACTTGTTATATTTTTTAGCAGAAAAAATGCAGTTTGAAAAAGAAAACTGACTGGTCCGCGCGATTTTTTAATAGACGACACCGACTTACCATTCCACTGGCGTTTCTGAATAGCACATCTTAACCATTTTCCATTTTTTAATCAAACTGCGCCTAAAATATTTCTTGAACACTTTCCATTTGGTCATTCCAAGCTGTTATCACTTTGCTGACTGCATCGATGCCCCCTAGAATTCCTAACCTACGTAATTTTATGTGTAGTTCACATGGAAAGATATGGCAAACTTATCCTGTCCTAGACTTATCAATTGTTGCCAATGTTAAATGATACCTTGCATCATTTAACATTGGCAACAATTGATAAGGGATTACTAATGTTGAAAAACACCTAGAAACAGTTGAATGTTAACCCTGAAGGGTTGTCAGTCAACTTTTTGTTACTAGTCATCCGTTTATGTCATTTGCTATTATAGTACCTATATGGATTTTTTTTTTTTTTTTTAATACAATTTTGTTAGTCTCATGAAACTTTGAACCATTATTTATAATATTTGTTATCAACTTCTCAGCTATCCTTAAGGATGCGGACTTGGCTGCAACATCCACCAAGAAGGTGCGCCAGGAATTGGAAGAGAAACTGGAGGTCAAATTGCAATCCCGTAAAAAAGAAATTGACGACCTTGTTATGGAATTTGTGAGCTCCAAAAAGGAAGGAGGCAGTAAGAAAAAGGGAAAGAAAGATGACGATGAAGAGGACGATGATGAGGAAGAAGCTGCTGATGAGGAAGAAGAAGAAGATGAAGAGGAGGTTAGTTCGGTTAGTAATTGGGACATGGTTTCTATATTATTAAATTCCGAATACTTTAAACAATTAGTTATAAAATTATTTTTATAGGATGAAGATTCCGAAGCTGACAAGAAAAAGAAACGCTCTTCCACTGGCAAGAAACCAACTGCTAAAAAAGCTAAGAAAGGCTCTGACGATGAGTCTGCCAGCGAAGGTAGCGAAGGAGAATCTGAGGAAGAATATTCTCCAAAAAAGGCAGCAAAACCAGCCAAGACTCGCAAGCTTCCCCCCAAGAAGAAGAAGGGTTCTGAATCCGATTCTGATGAAGATTGGGGTAAGAAGAAGGGAGGCAAAAAAGTAAGTAAAGTTTTTTAAAAACCAATAAAAAATAGAACATAGTTTTATCATTTATAATTATAAGATGAAATTTTTAAACAAGTAAAAAGAATTAGATATCAGGGTCTTTTCACTTCTCTAGATATTTCATTATACATTTTGTAGAAGTTTGATAAACATTTTTTTAGTTTCTGTCTGCCTGCAAAATTTTATATTTTTTGTATTGTTAATAGGCATTGAATAGGTTATTGCAAAGAGTTTCCTTTGTTTTGAAATCACAGAAAGTCTTGTATTTCAAGATAATTGGCAACATATCTAATTATGAGGGTGCAAAGTTTCACAGGTTTATTTCGTTTACGTTTTTTTTTTTAATTGTTTAACGGCCAATTTCATAATCAACTTGAAGTAAATCTTAAATTTAAAGCTCCATTTGAAGTTGAAAAATCCTATCCTGAAAGTCTATTTAGCTAAAGTAACTTTTAATTCTCTATTATGAAATTGGCCGTTAGTATCTATTAAGTACTCTAGTAGAGAAGAGGCACTATCTATTGTGATAATATGGTCGATATTGATTTTATTTTAAAAGCTACAACTTTATATTTGGGGCTTAATTCCAAAGCATGTAGTAGGATTTAAAACCAAACCTCTATATAAAAGCATTTTTAGCCTTATTTTGTTCTTATAACAAACTTTATCTTATCCCAAGATTGCCTGAAAAGGGCCTTGATAACCAAAATTATGCATGTTTGTGTGTTTTTGTTTTTATGTGATGAATTCTTATGTTAATTATGGCTCGTCATAGAAAAACTTACGAGACATCCTGTATAGTCTAGAAAAATTGTCGATTTTCAAAAAAATGCACCCCTCTGGCGTTTTGCGCTATAGGGGTACCTATTGATTTTACAAAAAAAAAATTCCAAATAAAAGATGTGCAACATTATTTCATCTACAATGTTTATCTAGAGACTTTTTTGATAAAGGGCCGTCTGTGGTCATAAGGGCCGTCTGTGGTCATAAGGGCCGTTTGAAATTTAAAATGAAAATAAAAAATTTTAATCAACGTGAAAAAAATTTCTACATGACATAGAGTCCGCGTCAGCAGTAAAGACTACGGTGACGAAATAAAAAGCTGCGCGAAGCGGGTCGGATCTCTCTCCCTCGTCTATCTCTCGCTGTCTGCCGTGACCTCGGCCGTGAGCTGAAACCAGCAGCGGGGTATCTTTTTAGACAAAACTTGGATACAAAATAAACTAAATAAATATGCCTGCTGGCCGTACGACAATGAACCACGTGCTTGGCGTTCGGCAGCAGCACCGATCGATACAATACTTCGGTTAGTCTTCAAAATTGGGTTTGTGCGCAAATGACGTCACCGTACTCTTTTCTCTTGACGCGGACTCTACAAGGTTTTTGCTTTATGAAGTATTCACTCACCCCCTGCCGTTTTTCAATAGGGATAGTTTGAAGTTTTTTTATTTCTTTACAAATTTTTTTTCTCGATACAAGTTTTATAAGATTACATTTTCTACAATTTTTCGTTATCAACTTTCTTTTGTACCTCGCCCCCATTCAGCGGGCAGGCTTCCCTTATGAAAATTTTATTTTTCGAAAAAGTTAAGTTCAAAAAAATTGTCCTAAAATTATTCTGTATACGATTTAAAAAAAAAAACAAAAAAATTGTCGTAGGTACCGTTATTAAGGGTAGTTTTTAGGGGTGTATATATATATTGTTTTTTTTTTTTGTTTTTTTGCCTTTAGTGCATATTCAAAATTGCAATTAACACTGTATTAAAAGGAATTTTTTTTACCACCTTTTTGTTTTTACGGGTAGTTCGCCTATTTTCAACTTTACAAAAAAAATGTAGTAAGAAAAGTTGTCAAAAATCAAAAAGATCCTTTTAATACAGTGTTAAATCGTATACAGAAAAATTTTAGAACAATTTTTTTGAATTGAACTTTCTTGAAAAAAAAAATTCCCCAAGGGAAGTGTCCCTCCGCTGAATGAGGGTGAGTTACAAAAACAGTTGATAAGGAAAAATTGTAGGAAATGTAATCTTATAAAACTTTTATTAAGAATTTCTTTTTGTAAAAATATAAAAAAACTTTAAACTGCCCCTATTGAAACACGGCAGGGGGTGAGTAAAAACTTCATAAAGCAAAAACATTGATGTGTTGTAGAAATGTTTTTTACGTTGGTTAAAAAAAATTATTTTTATTATAAATTTCAAACGGCCCTCATGACTACAGACAGCCCTTAATCAAAAAAGTCTTTAGATAAACATTTTAGATCAAATCATGTTGCACATTATATTTTTTTGTAAAATCAATATACTTATTGATACCAAGTAATCGCCAATGGCGCACTTTCAACCCCTATATCGCAAAAAGCCAGAGGGGTGCATGTGTGATATCTTCGGTTTTATGATCATCAACTCGCCCCCTATCATCGCTGAAAAGTTCATTTGGGTAGGATTTTTTTTTTTTGCAATGCATGTATTTTTCGACAATTTTCTTAAACTAGTAGGGTGCATAAAAAAATTGTCAGATTAATTGTAGTGTCAGTGACATGCAATTTTTGGAACATTTTCACTAAAGCAAAGTTCCTCAACATAACTTTCTACAAAATATTCCATAATTTTTCTATATTTTTTTTGTTTGTTTTCCAGGGTACTGGCAGGAAAGGTGGTAGCGGCTATACCAAACCCCTGCAACTATCTCCTGAATTGGCTGCATTGGTTGGTGCTGAGTCAATGGCTCGTCATGAGGTCGTCAAGAAAGTCTGGTCAATAATCAAGGAAAAGAACTTATATGATCCAAAAAACAAACAGTACGCCATTTGTGATGACGCTTTATTGAAGGTTATCGGCACAAAACGTTTCAGAACGTTTGGTATGATGAAGTATCTTAAAAATCACTTCGTGAGTTAATTTTTCGATACTTACGACATACATTAATAATGTTTAGTTAGTAATACACTGAAGGGTTGATTCTTTTTTTCAATTTGATTGTAAGAATAACTTGGGTTTTTAGGATTCAAACTTGTTTGATAGGTAGATACATACCTATAAGTTTATTGTTAAGCATAAAATTTCAATAGTTACAAAAATTTGATAAAAGTCGATGTTAGGACAAAAAATTAGCAGATCAAAGGAGGACCTATTCCTTATATTATGCCCCATTCTGAGGCCCAAATTTCATTAAAAACAATGGCGCCGATTTGGAGATATTTCCCAAATGTCCGTTTTTTTAGCATATAGTACAAACTATGGTTCCATTATCCAACAGTTTTGTAGGAAAAGAAAATATACGTTTTTGCCATAAGTACCAAAATAATGTGTTCATAGGGATCTTTCTTATTGCCCTTACCAATTGAAACTCCTTTTTTGGTACATTGGTTCCTATAACAAAACTGTATTTTAATCGTGGCCAACAGGAAAAGATATCAAAATGTGGTTTGCACCATTGTTTTCCATAAAATTAGGATCTCAGAGTGGGGGGTTGGTTTTTTCGGAAACCTATAAAGCAGTTGAATAATCTATAAACTTATCAACATCTGGGTTCATTAAATTGACTATATAAAACAGAAACAAAAAAGTTAAGGAATACTGAGAAGCTATGTCTTACATAATAATTAATAAACTTGCGATCCATGTAATTTGGATTTTGGGTATAAGCACAATGGAACAAAATTTTACCATTTTTCTCTTTTTGAGTTTGGGTTTTCTCAATCCACTATGTCGATTTTCATTTGAGGAGAAGCGTTATTGCAGGACATGGCTCAAGCGAATAAATATATCCTAAGGAATTTGACAAAACAATTAGGTGAATTTACCCAAAATAGTTTTCCAATAAAACCAAGGTCAGCTGATAGGATAGCAAAACATTTATAGTTATAGGACTGTGCAGGCTTCGTGCAGTGTGTACATATAGTACTTTGAAGGTACTACCTACTACAGTAAGACGATTCATTATGGGATCAAATAATAGGCAATTTGCGTATACTAATACTTATTACAAACAAATCAAATACATTCCTTGTGCAATTTATTTCTTTTCTTTAGCAAACTTAACGAGTTTTGCTTCTGATTTATATTTGAATTTTGGCTTATTTTGTTGAATCAGAACCGCTTCATTGTATTTCTAATGTTTAATACAGCAGGACTATGTCTTTTTGTTTTTTGTGCTCGTTAAATGTCATTTTGATAATAAATTTCCACTGTTTATTTTTTGGACCAAATTAATGAGATCCCTGGCAAGATGTTCCCTAAAACAAAATCGTTTGTGTTTTCGTTTGGTATTTTTAAAGTGATATTTGAGTATCAGAATATCACATTCGCCTGCTATTTATCTAATCCTAGCGTTTATTCTTCTTGATAATTTAGATGACATGTAGGGGAGTCCTGTAGAGTCAAATCTAAATGTGTAGTTTTTAAGACTTTATATTTTGATAATGTGTGAGCACTGAATTTAGGTTTATGATTTTAGTTTTTGTAATAAGTGAAACATAAGAATATTATTTTTTTATATATAAGTAATCTTTTGAAATGTGAATTATGTTGAGTATTAGTTTGATAGAAACGGTTCATTTTAAATTATGTATGTGTGTAACAGATTTAATAAAGATAATTATCTCCCAAGTTTTTTAGTTTTGCTAGCCCACAAAAAAGACAAAAAGTTGATGTTTTCTCTTGAGTTCAAGAAAAGTGTTAAAAAAAAACGGGTTTACTTCATTAACTAAAAGCCTTTCAAATTTATCAAAAAGCAGTATCCTTCCATGTCTCTGGCAAATATCTGTATGTTTGAGGTGGATTCATGAACATTATGGCATTTTGCTTGACAATCAATCTGGATAAACGCCAAAACTACACGCCAGTCTGGAAAAAAAAGACTACACCCACTGAAAGACTGATAAAGTGAATCTTTTCCATTTTTAACTTTGGTGTAAACATATTGCAAATTTAACTCATATTCTTGAACTGAATAAATAATAATCATCAAATTAATTGAAATATCTCCAGTATTTTGGCAAAGGAACCTCTTCCTAAAAAACGCAATTGAAAAAAGTAGGCTTATTTCTGCGTCCCTTTATGTTCAGTAACACTATTAGGCAACACTCCTTTGCTTTAGAAGTAGGTAAGCCTAAGAGGTAAACCAAATTATCCTTTTTGAATATAGTTTTTTTCAAAACCCTGACATACGAAATTAATGGTGCGGCAACGTTGTTGGTTGTTGTTGCGATTGTCTATGCTTTAATTGGGAAGAATTTATAACAGAATCAATTTTTTTAATTGTTTTCTTTACACGGCCCTTCACAACTGGTGAAGTGATATAAGTGCATAAGTCTCATGTTTTCTGTTCGTTTCGGCAAAAAGTGATCCAAAGGTGTTTGTTTTGACCTTCAAAAACATCACCCAAACCTACCATTGTTGCACGATTGTGAGTCTTTTTCCGCCGATTTCTAAAAATGTCGAATTGTGTCAAATGTAAAAGGAGGATTGAGGAGGATGAGGATTTTATATTTTGTGATTGCTGTAAGGTGGCATTTCAGGTTACTAAAACTTGTACTGTGATGTCTACGACAGAAATAAGGGGCGATGATGCTTCAAAAGCATCTTTCTGAAAGTGCCCATGATTTTTAACAAAATATCGTTACTGGAAAAGGAGGTATCTTCTTTGAAGGACGAAGTGAGTTCTCTAACAAACGAAGTTAACATTTTGAAGCAACAAAAAGAGAATGATCTGATTAATATCTCAGCTAGCCAAAAAAATGCTGATGGATTATTAAACCAAAATGATGTTCTCAGTGAAATTCATGATCGCAGTATAAGGGCTTATAATATTGTTGCTTTCAATGTAGAGGAATCAGTCTCTCAAAACTTAAATGATAAAATCCAACATGATACGGAAAGGGAAAAAATATTATTGAGGCATCAGGTCTTGAAACTGGCTGCTTTAGGAAGGTTATTCGCCTAGGAAAAAAGTTGCCCAACAAGCTTAGGCCTCTGTGGATAGTGCTTGACAGCCCGCAAAGTTGCCAGAAAATATTGCAATCAAGAAGGAAACTCCATGATCAAGGTCTTAACGTAAGTTTTGACAGAACCAAATTACAGCAAGAAATCCATAAGAAGGCAGTGTTGGAGCTTAGGGAAAGATTGGCAAATGGAGAGTCTGATCTAAGAATCATATACAAGAATGGAACTCCTGCAATAATAAAGTCCACTCGAGCCGTACCAAAAAACTAAGTAAGCTAAACCTTTCTATTTACTTCCATAATGTTGGGGGAATGAGGTCAAAACTTCGGGACCTTGCTAAGGGTGTCGCAGCTTCTTTTTTTGATGTGATGATTATAGTTGAGACTTGGTTAACTTCAGAATTTAATGATGCCGAGCTTGGTATTCCCAACTATAACATTTATCGCTTGGACAGGGAACAAACAACGAATGAGTGTACCAGGAGGTGGCGGAGTTATGATTTGTGTTAAAAGCATGTTGACTTCATTGCTCATTCCATGCATAATGAACACTGTTGAACATGTTTTTGTTCAACTAACATTTGGTAAGGTGAAATTGATATCAGGAGCGGTCTATATTCCACCAAATATTCACCTAGTGAAACCTATGCTAACCATTGCAGTGAGGTGGAAAACATAATTCGCAATTACTCTTGTTCGTCCGTTCATTTATTTGGTGACTATAATCTGCCCTCCACTGTTTGGTTCTTGTCAGATGCAGGTGAACAGCTAGTACAATGTCCCAGTGGTTATCCTGCAGAAACAATTTGTGACAACTTTTGCTTTTTCGGCCTAAAACAGAAGAATCTTATCCCAAACCCGCACAACAAATATTTGGATTTAATTTTTTGCTCTGGGGACTCTGATTTTTGCAACAACATAGCCGATGATGCCCTTTTTCCTGATAGTTATCATCATAGGAGTTACTGCTGCACACTTCAAGTTGGGAAGAACGAAAAACTGAATTTCTTGGGGATTTTTAGGGACTTTGCTAGTGCTGATTATATTGGAATTAATAGTTTTTTGGCTCCTATAAATTGGGAGTTAGTACTGGAGGGAAATATTGACACTGCAACCGAAACATTTTATGCAATAAGTATTAGAACAGGCTATCTGCCTATTTGTTCCTCTTAAGAGAAAAACCTCTTCGTCTTTTCCTGTATGGTTCACTGGGGAACTAAGACAGCTTGTTAGAGATAAAAAAGCAGCTCATACCCAGTATAAGAAATCTAATAATAAAAATGATTATTTACATTTTAGTAATCTTCGAGCTAGGTGTAAACAGTTATCTGATGCATGCCACAGGGATTATATAGCTAATACTGAGAACAATATAAATACCGACCGTAAAGGTTTTTGGAAATGGTTTAATTCATTAAGGTCAAAAAACGGCATTCCCTCTACCATGAATCTCAACAATGTGACAGTTTCTAATGGTTCTGATATTTCAAATCTTTTTGCTACTCATTTTCCAAACTGTTTTAGTGATAACTCGAACACTGATTCTAATATTAATGATACTAATATAACTGAAGTTGGGTAAATAGAATTTAGTTTACAAGAGGTGTTCGTTGGAATACAATCATTGCCTAACAAACTCAGCTCAGGTCCGGACAAGCTATCACCTTTCTTCTTAAGAAAATGTGTTTATTCTCTTGCTAAGCCTCTGCATTTTTTGTTTAATAAGTCATTATCAAAACACAAATTTCCAGTACTTAGTTTGGTTGTCTAGCTACGTTTTGCCAATATTTAAGACTGGGGACAGACATGATATTAAGAATTATCGGCCAATAAGTATTCTGTCGTCGGTTCCTAAACTTTTTGAAAAGCTCCTAATACCCTATCTACAGTGGCATTGTAGGAGTATTATTGATCCATCTCAGCATGGATTTGTACCCCAAAGATCTACTGTGAGTAACCTTTTGATCTATGAGCAAGACATTCTTTCATCATTGGGTAACTTGTCTCAAATAGACTCAATATATACAGATTATAGTAATGATTTTGATCATGTTAACTACTCAATTTTATTGGCAAAGCTAAAGGCAATGGGGTTTCCCACATACTTATTAGAATGGCTTAGAAGTTATTTGTCAGGAAGAGTGCAACTAGTAAAAATTCATAATTTCTGTTCACGAGAAATTTCAGCTACGTCAGGTGTGCCTCAAGGGTCTCATTTGGGCCCATTACTTTTTGTACCATTCATAATGGACTTAACTAAATGCTTTACTTTCTGTAAGCGTTTATTTTTTGCTGATGACCTCAAAATATACTTAGAGATAAATAATGTCGGTGACTGTTTCAATCTCCAACACGACTTGAATATGCTTAACGGGTGGTCCAAGAGTAATGACATGTTGCTAAACATTGGAAAATGTCACTGTATAACATTCACTAGAAGTAAAAGTCCAATACTTTTCAATTATAATATAGATAACTCATCTCTTAATAGAGTAGACAAAATACCTGATTTGGGAGTTATTTTCGACAGCCAAATGTCTTTGGTTCCTCACATAAATGCACTATCATCTAGGGCATTCACTAGGCTGAGGTTTGTTTTGCGTAACTGTTCTGATTTTTCTGTTCCAACTGTACGTCATTTATATATTTCTTTGGTGAAAAGCATACTTAATTATGCCTCTCCACTCTGGACCCCTATTTATCAAATACATATAGACAGGCTTGAATCTGTTCAAAATAAATTTTTACGTTACTGTGGGTACAGACTCCAAATTCCTCGTGATCAATGGACGTATGAAGATATGCGAAACATCCTATCTATTAATAGTCTCAAGTCTGATCGAATTTCTTGTGACTTTTGTACCATTTTCAAGTTAGTGTCTGGTGATATAGACTGTCCGGATCTACTCAAACAGATATATGCTTCAAGGTTCCTTCACGGAACACTCGTAGTACCAATTTGTTTCATATTCCATATCATTCTAGCAACTATACATATAACAGCCCTTTATCTAGATTTTCTAGACTAGTAAATGCTCACAATTTTGAGGTAACTGGAATTTCATTTCTACAGTTTCGCCGTCAGTTCAATCCCGTTTGGTAATTCTCCAAAGGGGTGACGTTTTGGTAATAAGGGAACCTACATTGTACCTGTCTCTTAGTGTTAGTGTTAACTTGTATAAATCTCACCACTGATACTATATTTTAATCTTTTGCATTAGTGAGTTTTGTAAAATTTGGTTGATCTTGTTAGTTTTAATCTTGTTAGTTTTAAATTTTTGTTTTTAAATTATGTTAGTAAATATAGTGATTGTACTAGTAGTAATGTTTTGTAATAGAGGGGTGAACCCGTATATTGAATAAATAAATAAATAAAATAAAAAATTACCACTAAGTAATCAAATTTAAAATTTCTCGAGTTCGAGTTCTCGACCAAATATACTAACAGAATGTTCTGTTCTGATATTTGTTATGCAAGTCCCTCCCTTCCCCAAGCATTGATGATGGTAGCAGATTTGATACAGAACTGTCAGCAAACCATTTCCAGAAGACGAACACACCTAATCCTATACTGTTTTATCAAAATAAAACTCCAAGCAAAGAGTATTTTATCAAAATCAATACATATAAAATGGGAGGAAACACAGATTGTTTCAAATGCAATGAACGATATGTGTTCTCAAAGAGAGTAAGACCGAACGCTTTGGATATCCTTGCGATATATGCAAAAGGATTATGTGTGAGGCTTGCGCAAATATATCTGCATCAGTTAGAGTCATTGTAATGGCTACTAAAACAATGCCCTGTGTTTGTCCAGCATGTAGGGAGAACATGTTCAATATTCCAAATATCGTAAAGAGGCTGAGTGAACTTGAGCTGTTGGTCCAGAACCAAATCTCAGAGACAATAGAGAAAATTGTAAAACTTGAACAGTGAATTGTTAAAATGGAGCAAACAAATACAGCCTTCTCTGACCGTCCTGTCTCGGGGATGTGTACGATCGATTCTGGTGAAGATAGGAAAGAGCAGGAGGAGAGGAAAAATAGATTATTGTAGATTGTAGATTTCGGGGGAGTCGTTCCAGCTTTTCAGCACTGCTACCTTTGCAGATATTTTGTGCGCGACTCTACATCTTAATTTGTCTCCAGGAAGCGTAGACTTCTGCCAAAGGAAGCTATTTTCCTGGGTGTCAGTTGGCCCACTTCTTCTGGTGACAGTGTTGCCCCCTCGAGGAATTTGAGCCTCTTGCAGAATTGGGCTGGACATTCGCAGAGCAGATGCTCTGCGGTCTCTATTGCGTCTGAGCAGAATCTGCAGAGATTGTCTTCCGCTCTGCCCATTAACCTTAAATGGTATTTTACTAAAAAAAATACCTATTATAGTTTTTAATGTGAATGAATCAACAGCTAAAACACTGGCAGAAAGGAATCTTGAGGATGATAGGACAGTTGGTGCAGTAGTCGGAAATTTTAATATAAACAAGGATGTTTTGAGAAGTATGTTGCAGACAGGGCTCGGCCCATTAAGGTCATTCTGGAATCTGAGGCTGATGCAAAAAATATCTTGAAAAACCGAAAAAATATAAGCATTCCGGGTGTTAAGGTGAATAATGATCAAGCAAATATGCAGAGAGATTAGTATAGGGGTGTCAAAGCAGAGCTAAAAAGGCTCGTAGAAAGTGAACAAAATAATAAAACTATTAAATTCATTAACAATAAACCAACGATTGTGGATAAAAAGGATAATCAGAAAAAGTCCCACTAATACCTACTATACTCCATAACTCAGATATCATTTACCTTAATAAACATTATAGATCAAATAAGACACAGCATTGTTTCTTATAATCCCAAAATCATTCTACTAAGTGAAACACGAACAACCAAAGATGTTGAAGATGGTGAATTATGTATTAATAAGATAATTATAATGTGTTATAGATGTGACTCCAACAGTAGACATACTGGTGGTGTTTTAATTTATATCAACAATCATTACAGATTTTCAAACGTTAAGAAATTTGAACTTGTTGATAACTTTTGGTGTAAATTTGTTAGGGTGCATCTGGCGTCTGTCACTTCAGTTATTGGCTGCATCTACCATTCTCCATCAAGTTCGCATGCGATACTGTATTTTCCAAATATAGCAGATGCGTGCTGGTTGGCGATTTCAATGTAAATCTTTTGAGTGACTGTTTTTATGGTGACAAGTTCAGGAACCTAATTGCAGCTTATGGAATAGATCAATTGGTCACTGTACCGACACGAGTTACCGATGTTAGTGAGACCTTGGTTGATTTTGTGCTCTCAAATCAAAACGGCTTGAAGGTGGAGGTACACGATGCTTCAAGGATTGCCGATTACTCTGTTATTGGTGTTAATATCTGCAATGAATCACGCGTGAATGAGAAATTGAATTTATTGTTGTGTGAATGGAATTTGAACTCTGTTGGAAAATTGTGGTAGGGTGATTAACGATGTTGCTGCTGTAGAGACTTGAAAGTATAAATCTAACTTACCTTGGTTTGATAATAGAGTTTTTGATAAAATTAAAGATCGTGAGAAGGCTTATGAAACTTTTAGAAATGCAAATGATAACGAAAAGCAACATAAGTGGCAAGAGTTCAAGTCTCACAGGAGCAAAGTGGTTGATCTTCTTAGGTTAAAGAAGGAAAGGTGTTACTATAGGAAGATAGAGTAAAAATCAAACGAGAAGAAGCCGTTGACGTCAGCGCTGACAAAGAAGGCAGATTTCCTTCTCTGGGTCCCTCCAGTTTAAAGTGAGACAAACGATAACACATGTGGCTTCTTCTCGTTTGATTTGTACTCTAGATATGTTTAAGGGTAACCCCAAGGAAATGTGAAAGACACTGAAGAGTGTGATGGACACTAATTATGAACAGATAACTCTCGAAGATTGTTCAGAGATTCCAGCAAATTTTAATTTTTATTTTGTTAGCAGTATAGAAAGAATTGGCGAAAGCATGCAAAATGGTCAGAAATGGACCAATCTTGATGCATATTTGGATTTGGAGATTTCTAGGTTTAAGTTGTTGAATATGTCTGATGCTCGAAAAATAATATAAAGGCTTGATAATAAATGTTCTGGTCATGAATTGCTGAATGCTAAGATTCTTAGGTCCATATTTGAAACCATTGGTCATATTATTATTCTGAGTCTTCTGAACACATCTCTTAGGACTGGTAGGTAATTTATGTAGACACTCATATTTAGGTGTAGGTAATCAGCCTTGTCAATAAAAAGGAGAAGTTCCCAGACAATAATTTAAAAAAAAATGAGTACATTTGCCTCAATTTACCTTTGAAAAATCGCCTGTCCTGGAATTGCTTTGTTTCTGTGTCACAACAAATTATTCAAAATCAAAACAAAATTTCATCGAAAAATAATATATTACATAAAAATACATTGTACTATGCATTTACGTCATCAACAATAAATTAAAATAATTCTATTTCTATCCACCAAATTTGTAGCTTTTTTTACCAACATCAGTCTTGCTAATAAATACATCAGTGAGAGCGAACACCTAGCGTGCTTTCAGGCCCTTTAGTTGTTTATTCGATTAGGTACCTATATTAATATAGTCCGTTCATAAAGTCTATAGAATTTTCGAGTGCATGATCTGAGATTTTGGACGCTGATTGGCTAGATTTTAGGGCCTCACTAGGGACTTGTTCGCCCATATCGACCCCCTAATTTTGGCCAATCAGCGTCCAAAATCTCAGATCACGCACTCGGAAAAGTCTATAGACTTTATAAATGGACTTTAGATATTTATTTTATGAAGCTTAGTTAAAATAAACAATACCCTAGTTAAAAGAAGAGTAGTATAAGATTCATTTAAAATAAATTAAGCGAAACATGTTAATTCAAAGACAAGGTTTAGAAAATAATAATACTTAAATTGGCTCAAAAGAACAGCCTGCAAAAGAATCATCAGGTTTGAAATATGCAGGGTGTCCCAGGTAAAAGTAACTACATGGGGATTTCGGAAACGGTAAGAGATACAATTTTGGTTGAATGGGAAAAAAGTTGCGTTACTCCGAGCCCAATCAGATGCTGTACCGAAATTGAAAATATCTACAGTTACAAAGCTATGATAACAAAACATAATTACGGCGTTTGTTTCACAACCAACTAAATGAAAATCTGTTTTTCTAATAAATTTACATTTTCCGTCATCTAAAGGCCTGTTATACATGGTTAAAAACGGCTTTTTATGCTCCATTTAATAACGTAAAAAAAACAATACGGCGTCCATAAGGAATAACAAAGTTGGCTATGGTTGCAAAAAAACTAGAAGCAGGCCTGGAAAAAATTCTTAACGTTATTCGATTGCCCCTCGTCGCTAATAGTTGTATTCCTTCCAAGAGTTTGGAATACTCGAGCTACTCGCTCCGGTGTTAGTCGACCCCGATTTGAAAGGAAGAGATGCATGGTGCAACAAACACTTTTCGAAAGAAATAAGCGCGTAACGCCCCGGAGCTGTTCCAGAGCTCTTCCTAGGTGTGCAAGGAATACAACTAATACAAAACTACCGAATTTTAACTAATTTGTTTGCAAAATGGCGACGATATTTCAATTTTTCGAAAAACACAATTTTTAGCTTTTGCTCGATATCTTGAAAACCCCTGTAGATATTTCCAATTTCGATGGAGCATCTGATTGGGCTTGGAATAACGCAACTTTTCTCCCATTTATCCAAAATTGTATCTCTTACCGTTTCTGAAATCCCCATGTAGTTACTTTTTTATATATATTTTGATGGAATCTAATTTGGCATTCAAACTTATAACCGTTTTGAGGATGATTTAAAATGTAACAAAAAATCAGTTATGTCACAGCTCCAATAAATAACAAGCAAACTTATATTAAATAAAAACAACATTAAACTGCTCCAAAATGTTTCTTAATGGAGGTTTCTGTATCCTTGTGATATATACAAGACTTTTAACCTTGCTCATATTTCTGAAGATGAAATCTACGACTACCAACAACAGAATAGTTGGTCTTCCCAATAGATACATACTTACCTGATGGTATTTCTTATTTTAGTTTATTGCAACACTACTAAGCATTCAGTCCATTTGTGAATGAGACCAGGAATGTTTTGTTTGATTACAAGCACATATAAACAGAGTCACAGTAGAGACCTCTGAGGTTTCATTCTGAAAAACTGTGAAAATTTATCTGTCAACAGTTTTGATCAAAACTTGATTATAATTAGTGCAATTATGGTCTCCTGACCAAAAAGTTCATAGTTGTAGGTACTCGGTAGAAATTGCTTCGTTTTTGTATATTTGAATTCATAGTAGTAACACTGGAATGTCAACCAAATCTAAGAACACTAGCAGTGCGGGGCATTTTTACCGGATTAACTTTTCTTTACCATATTATGTACAGTACAATATTACCTAATTAATTTCTCTGATCTGTTAGACAGTCCATCACAACAACAATGTTGGGATAGTCAGTAGAAATAGGAGATAAAAATGAGTTCCTTCTTTATTCTCTTCCTTCGTTCAATTATGGTTTTGAATGAGGAACGGATAGATGATTCCTCTGGAATCAGAATGTTTTTCATTTCGAAATATTTGATTCATTCTGGAGGATTTGAAAATCAGTTCGCTAGAATCGCTCGTTAGTTTTTTCCATAGTAATATCAAGATGGAGCATTACTTAAGTATTTACTTTTTGCTTAAAAATCCTATTTTCAATCCTGTATAAATTTTGTTTAATTGTAAAACTCTTAATAGGGTTACACCATAGATAAATAAAAAAAAGTTAATCACAAATCCTCTGTGCCTATTATTAAAAACAGAGATTGAGTTGAGTTGTGAGCATTAAAGAAACTAATTTCTTGGTTGTTCAACCAAAAAACTGTCCACATATAAAAACAGGTCTTTACAAAATTACCTGATATTGTAAAGATTGTTTGATCCATTCCGCGAATACATTTAAGATTGGGACCAGGACTAGGACACAAAGTTGTTTGGTCCAATAAAAACTATCCACATAATCAGAATGAAAGCTAAAACCATGTTTAGAAAGCATAGGTGCATAACAAATTTTAGAAATATGTAGAAATAATAAGTTTTTTCCAATGATTGAAGTTAAACATTCCTGTTAATACTTGTGTATTTTTGCTGTTTGTAGCATGTAATTCTTAGCCAATTTTTTATCAGACCCCTATTATAAGGCCTGGGTGTGTTTAAGCCAAGGCACAATTTGGAACAAAACGGCAATTTGTGCCACTCTTTTTGCGGAATCCCTAGTGAAACTAGCAGCATTTGTTGCATGAGTACAAGCAATAGGAGTAGAGCTACCATTATACTGTAGATGGCAGATACAAAAGCCAGTCCCAACCTGAAAAAAAAAAAAAAATTATGAATAAAGTAGAAAGTTATAATACACAAAGTGCAGCACAGTACTCGTGATAGAAGTGAATACTTCTTCTCTTTCTCTCTGTCTCCCTCATATTAATCATATGCTTCATTTCACTTGCGAGACGAAAATTTTATAAATCGTGTCGTGACGCGACCTTGAAAAATCACTTTCATGCGGCCAAAGAAGTATTCACTTCAAAAACAGAAATTCCCAACAAATGTTTAATAAACGACAAATACAAAACCGTGAGTACAGTGTGAGATAAAATATCGTCAGGCTATTTTGTACCTACCTAGTTTTATAAAAGATTTTATTTTCATGTTTTTCTATATGAAGAGTGGAGAATACAGAAAAATTGACAATGAATTTGACCACAAAAACACAAAATAGGGACACCATAGCAAACAGAAACAAAAAACTTCAAGAAACACAGGGAAAATAGACAGAAGTTTAATTTTGAATAGATAATGAAAAGAGAAGAATAGTAATGCTAATACTGGGTTGCATTGAAGGGGCAGCAAATTTTTCTATGCCAATGTGTAAGCAAGCAATCAATATATTCACCACTATTCTGTTTCACATCTAAAGTGGGTCTAGGGCTGGTTTTAACAAGGATATAAAACACACATAAAGAAATTGTGTTCTTATTTATTCCAAAACATTGGATTATCAAAGATATTTCTATTTATTTAGGTGTTAATTACTTCAAAAATGATTAATCACATCTTCATTTATTGTTTTTGATAATTCAGATGTACTTTCATGCAAGAAAAAGTTGTTTCACTTACTCAAATTGATAATACACATCAGAACAATCATCTGGCAACAATATTGTCTTGATAAACTCAAAGGGATGGCAGACTGAAGTGAGGGTCAAATTAGAGCTGTAGAGAAGTGCAGTAACAGCAAAAAACAATGATAGCATAAATAAACATTGATTGTGTCTACTAATGCAGCAATCAAACCTGAAAAAAAAAAATCAGTAAATGACAAATTGAAATAAGAAAATTATTCAGGTAAACATACCAGACACAGTGGTGATCTTTATCAGGTACCTTAGTTTCACATATGTTGCAAGCATAAAATCCTTCCACGTTTTTCAAAAGTAAATTTTGCTCTCTCTCATTCTGACAGACTATAGTCGATTGGTTTGCCTTTAACTTTGTAAGGTAAAGACACATGACAAATCCAAATATCAATATGCTCAAGGCAATATTTTCTTCTACCAGAATTTCAAGGAATGGTATTACAACAAATTCAAATATAAAATAAAGTAGTATAGTTGATGTTATTGTCCATACCAAAAAGAATTTGGTTTTTGGTATTGTCCGGACAAAGAAATTAAATATAAGTAGAAGAAACATAGCAACAGTTGAAAATGCAAATACAGTCCACCAGAGAGAGTTTGAGGCTATTGCGAACATTATTGGTAGGATAAAAACTGGTAGAATTGAGTCAAAAGCTACAGGTCTGGCTCCTCCAGTCCAGGGAACTCGTAGACGGTCAAACATCGTGTTTATCAGTCCGTTTCTGTTCTGTTCTGAGACTTTCCGTCCTCTGACTATACTGCAAATTAAAAGTAGCAAATTGGTACATGATATTGTATTTCTTATAGTCATTTTTAAATATGTCCACACATTCTGGGATTATTTTCAGCACCACGAATTTTTGAAAGGAATCCATACCATGTAAATCTTTCCAACAAAAGTGATTCGAATTTTTATAGTAAAATAATTTATGTGTGAAGTAAAGAAATATATTATCAATCATAGAATGGTAGGGGGTAGGTAAATATATATTTATATAAATGGGGGTCCTTATGGACTTTTTATCCTATATTTTTGTTCATAATTTGTAATACTGACAATCACCAAGAATAAACTTTTCAGGAATGAAGATTTAATAAAAAATTGAGAATAATACAGTAAATTTGTGCTCATAAAAGCCTCTCGCAAGAAAATTTTGGTTTAGTTTTGATTTTCCTCATTCCTTATGTTTTTTGGGGTGCTGAATCTGAATCTGAAGGTGAGGCAGCATTGAAAGAAATGCAAAAAAAGTAAAAAAAAGTGGTAGTTGAGATAGTCTTTTGCGTAGAACTCGAAACCTATCAATTTTTCGGAATAACGCCTCAATTGAAAATAAAAATACATAAAATTTTCTATGAATTACATTCATTAATTTTTTTTGTTGGACGAACCGTTTGGGCTTAAGCGTTGTTGTATTTTTTTTGTCTCCCCAAAAACCCTTTTCCCAGCCTTTTTCGCTCCAAAAATCTAATTTAGAATTGAAAGCTCCTTTAGTAATTTCCTCGTAGTTTTGAATTACTTCCGCTCTGTTTACGGCTGATAATATAAAACTAATTTGACTAATATCCAACAGTTACCTTCTGGAATTACTATGAAAAGCAACGTCATTCCAGGGTCCTTATTCTTGGAACAGGGGAGCAGCGTTCCCAGGAGAACGAGTGTCCCGTCTTTATTGCATATCATTGAGAAAGACGGAACACTCTTTCTCGTGGAAACGTTGCTCCCCTGTTTCAAGAATAAGGACCCAAAAGTTAACTTTTAGTTATTCTGGCAAAATAGTTTTATAATACCCACCCTTAATCAGAGGAAATTGAAATTTCTCAAAGTCCTGCAAAAAAACAATGACTTGGTACCAGTTAGTGAGGCTTTCAAAGACCCCTCGAGCTCACGAGGACGAGATTGCCGAAGCAGGCGACATGTTTTTATTGTTTCTCATAGCTTTGTACGCGAATGGCCGTGAGACTATTTTATTTATTTATTACAAATAATACTTAAAAATTCAGAAACTTCAAATAGTATATGAGATTTTAAACGATTTGAGATTCAGGTTTTATATATCATCATCTTACAAAAGCAAACCCAACATTGCCACACTACCTGAAGCTGCTGCACAAGAACATTCACAGAGAGTTTACTTTCAGGTGAAGCAGTGGTTATCTGGACAAACTATATTCAATAAACAACAAAGAGAACCGAACGAGTGGGGGTAGAAAAAAAAACAATGGTCTTATGCCCGTTCCCTCGCCCGTTCCGCACCAGCATCGGACTCAATACTTCAGCGCATATCTTGTAAATTCAAGGAAGGCTGCCAGCGGAATTGTGGGTGCAGAAAGACAGGCCTTGATTGCTCTCCAATATGCACAACATGCAACGAGTTGTGTGAAAACATCAAGTCCCCGGACGACATCGTTGAGATAGACGAAGACTCGGACAAAGAAGGGGCCGAAGAAACTGATTAAGAACTGTCTGAAGAAGAACAAATCAAATCAAATCACAGGATCTGGTAGGTACTTATGTCTAATCGCAAAATCTCAAGTTTGCTTTTCACAATTTCTCTCAATCTCTGATGTGTATGGAAGAACTCGATCCTGTGCCAGGACCTTCTAGAGAAAACAGCTAAAATAATATGATAATTTAATTATAAAGTGATAAAGATAAAAAATAAGAGTTTTGCAGATAAAAGTGAATTTTTGTGGAAATAGATGAAACACGCAACTTTTCAACTAACGATTAAGCCCGAACGATTCGTCGGAGGATAAAATATTAACGATGAAATTTAAGGTAGATTTCGAGGTAGATTTTATGTACTTTCATTTTGATAAGAGGTGTTTTTTTTCGGAAAAATTGATGGCTTTCGAGTTATAAGCAAAAAACTACCTTTTTGCATCTTATTCAATGTTGTGTCACGAAATTTTGTTAACAAACCTTAGATCATCCCGAAAAACATAAGGAACGGAGAAAATCAAAACTACTCCACAACTTCCCTACCAAAAATACTATTTTATTGCACTAGAGAAACTATAAACATATTGACATGCAACAATTCTCACAAGATGCACAACTAATAAACTGGCAACATGTCTACTACCTAGAAAACTTTGATGATAAACTAACCTACTTAAACAGATGTGTTCTTGCATTATTGGATCTCCATGTACCATTGCGTGCTGTTAATCTGAACAGAGATCTGGCCTCGTGGATGACACACAACCAAAAGCAGATGATACAGCTACGCAATCAAGCATACAAAATATAGGTACATGCGAACCAATACAGCTCATTACAGAGGCTACTTCTGTGATATTAGAAACTACGTTAACAAGGCGGTGAAAAAAGAAAAAAAAACCTACTACGAATTCTCAGCCACAAGAAGACTAAAGGATACCAAATCATTCTCGCAAACTATGAAACAATGGGATTTCGTGACATCAAGAAAAGACAAAGATATCCCAACGACAGATGAATACAGTGTCAATGAAATAAATACTTTTTGTGCAAGGACATCAGCAGTGACGCCGATCTACTAGACGTCTTCTATAGATCATATCAGGAAAGGCAAGAGTTTGCATTTGAACTAGTCAACACAAGTGACCTCCAACGGATTTTTAGTACCATTAAAACCTACGCTGTTGGATTGGATAATATTAATCTACCCAAGCTCAAACTATGGTTCCCATACTGCAAGAGGAAACTATTTCTTAATCGTATTATCAACACTTATCAATCTGTACAGGAAATATTCTCACCATCTGGAAAACGTCAAAAATTTTGCCATTAAAAAAATCTTCAAACATGGCAGGGCTTACGAACCTTCGGTCTATAAGAATCCTACCAACAACATCAAAACTTATTGAAAAAGTTGTGCACAATCAAATAATGCAGTACATCTAAGACCACAACATCCTTCATTCAGTTCAATCAGGATTTCGAAGATCACATGGCACTGGAACTGCAATAAATGATGACATTATAACAGCCAATCTCTAATCTAATCTAATAAAATCTTATCTGACTAAACGATCTCAAATTGTTAACTATAATGACATTAATTCGAGCAAGCAAGAAATAAACATAGGCGTACCGCAGGGCTCAATAATTGTGGGTCCTATTCTATTCCTAATCTATTTATAATAATAATCTACCCAAAATGGTGAAGTTCGAAAAGTATGTAAAATTTGCAGACGATACCACAGGTCAACTTCAACATCCAGATCTACCAACAGCTGTCCGTATGTTGGGGAGGCACAGTTGACGGCTAGGGAATGGTTTGCAGCTAACAAACTCTTTTTGAATGAATCTAAAACCCAAAATAATACCTTTTCTCTAAAAAATATAGAACACATGACCAACAGTGTAAAATTCTTAGGAGTGCACCTTGACCAAAAACTTCTTTGGCATGCACACACTGAAATAATTTCAAATAAGCTTCGCAAAAACACATTTTTATTAAGAAATTTGGCAAGATATGTCTCATCTAGAGTAACAAAACAGACATACTTTTCTTTGCTACACTCGCATATAGGCTATGCTTTGCTAATATGGGGTCATGCAAGTGGAGCACAAAGGGTTTTCTCCAAGCAAAGAAGGGCTGTTAGAATAGTAGCTGGTTTAGGTTATCGAGATGACTGCAAGCAGGCTTTTATTGACAACAGAATTTTGACATTGCCCTGTGAGTATATCCTGCAAAATCTAGTTAATGTTAGGGACCATTAAAACTTAAGACCCATCTACCATCGTTTACAGATATATCAGGGTGGACCTGGATACCATGCTATAAAACTTTTTAAAAAACTACCAGAGCATGTAATACAACTAAAAAATTCCGAATTTAAGAAAACAATTAAAGATTTTCTCATAATAAAGGCGTTTTCAATTCAATTCAATAAAGCTTTATTGTCCTAATTCTTAGCAGAATCACTGACAAAGCAAAGGTACAAAGTAAGTCTTAAAAACTATACATAAAAGGCAGGTAATAAAATTTCACAAAAAGTTCCGTCTAAAATAACAATAAAAATCTTTACAGTCTAGAAGAATTTTATAATTCCACACTCAATTGGACACTCGATTGGACATGCACAAAAATTATTTAAAACAAACAAATAAATTTGCTATATTGCTTTTTAAATTTCATTTCATTGATTCTTACCTTTTAAATGTCCTTGTCCTGATAATTATTGTATTAGTGAGTGTGAGTGATAGTAAATTTGTACCTAATTGTTGAAATTTTAAACATAACTTTTATATTTTTGTAAAACAGATATTAAAAAAAAAAGTAGTAGTCAATCATGTGAAATAGCTAGTTAATCCAATTTTTTTTAATGAAATTGTAATTTTAGATTATTTAGGTAATTGTATTTTGATTTTGACTTGTGTAAACACTGTACTGTGTATTTAGGCACCAATAAACGATTCTGATTCAAGGACCAAGGAATGACCACCATAATGGTTTTGTTGGACATGTCAAAGGTCTTCGACAGCATAGACCATGGCCTCGACCATGACTTACTAGTAGTCAAACTAATTCATCATGGAATCAGGGAAATGGCCTGAGAATGGTTTAAATAGTACTTAACACAGACACAACAACGTCGAATTGGAAGGCATCTCTAAAACATACCTCAGAAACAGTGGAAAGGGGTGTGCCTCAAGGATCAATTTTGGGACCACTCCTATTCAATTTATTCCTGATAGACCTTCAAAGTAGAATAAAATCCAGCAGTTCCCACTACTATGCTGCACTAAATACCACACAACTTGAAAAACTTAGGAGTTGTAAGCTTTAAATAAAAACAAGACACATGAATTGATACTGTCCAAAGACTTTATAATTGACTACTAATCTTAATCGCTAATATTATTTGCATTTTTACCTTCTTATCTTTATTGGTATTTTGATTGCTACTTTAATTGATTTGTGTTTTGTTTGTTGGTCTTTATTCCTATTGTTGTTTGTGCCAAGGCAAACCAATTTATTACCCATACTTATCACAAATAAACGATTTATTATTATTATTATTAGAATTATAGAACCCCCATGAATTGGCAATAAAGAATATTGTCAATATTATTATAAATAGAAATAGCTGACCTGGTTAACTGGTCACTGGTATTTATGTGATGGCGAGGGGGTAACAACTGGTGGCAATACATGTACAAATTGTATAGCATTAATTGGGCAATAATTGCTCTTTGATAAATAAATAAATAAATAAATTACAATGCATTACTAGAATAACGCCAGAATTACAGGCATTCCGGTGGCATTACTCGGCATTACCAGAAATTATGCTGACATTACAAATTACAAGACATTACCTATGAATATGGTAGAATTACGCTTGCATTCAATGGAATTATGATTGATCTAAAGGTTGATTTTTAAGGTTTTGATGTATATACAATAACTGTATGTATCTAATGGTAAAAATTAAAATTATTTTCACATACAGGGTGAATAAAAAAAGTTACAGTAAAATATGTATTTGTTTTAAACGGGACACCCTATACAGTGTCATTACTTAAGTGTGCAACATATGGGATTTTTTTTTAGTAATAACACAATCAAAATACAAACAAGGCCAAAAGTTGGTGCATGTCTGATAATCATATTAGGTGCACTTAGAATGGTTGCAAGTCAAACATCATACAGGGTGGGTCAAAAAATATCAAAATTCTACTAATATTTACTTAAATAAAATAAAACTTTTGCACTTTAAAGAGAGTTTTTTAATATGGCTATTATCCTTAGTAATGTTTTAACTTGTTAAAAAAAAAAAAATTGAGACATTTTAAAGTTGTGTTGAATATCATTGCAACAAACATGAATTTTGTGATTCCATAAAAAATTAAAAATCTAAGTTAATTTTACAAATATGCTTGAATTTGAACAAAGTTATGTAAAATTGATTTGATTTTAATTAATTTTTGAAAGTCTTAAGGGCTGAAATAAAAAATTAAAAAAATATAGAAATTATTGATTTTTTTCGAAAGAAAATAAAAAAAATCTTAGGAGGCTATGTTTTGGTATTTAGGCATAATTTTTAATTCCAAACAACTTTTCTCTATAACATTTTGCTGAATTTTCTAAAATAAGGGTACTTTACAGTACCAGCTTTGATATTGTTTGAGCTAACCTGTATGCTGTTTGACTTGCAACCATTCTAAGTGCACCTAATATGATTATCAGACATGCACCAACTTTTGGCCTTGTTTGTATTTGGGTTGTGCTATTACTAAAAAAAATCCCATATGTTGCACACTTAAAAAATCACACTGTACATATATTATTATCATTTTTGGATTCTTCTCAATGTGCTTCATCTAAATTCGACTGTAAGCTAGAAACAATTGAAAATTTTAAGCTTTGTTCAGGTTCGAAAAAAGAATGGTTCTAGAACGGTTCAAAACAATCAGACAGTTTATTATTGAAATTTGTGATAGCCGAGCCTTTGTTTTTTTGTTGTTTGATAAACTGTGCGATTGTTTTGAATTCTTTTAGAACCGTCCTTTTTTCAAACCCAAACAAAGCCATGATCTAGAAATTTCCTACAGACCAATAAAATCATTGGATCAGAACCTCGATCAGAACCATTTCAACTCTTGAGACAGGATAACTTGAGGGATAAATTAACCATTGTAAAACTCTACCAAAATGGAAGACAATATATAGGTATTTAACAAGTTAAAACGGTTTTTGCTGGGGTTTTTGAAAAACAGATTAAGTACGAGAAAAATTTAGCATTTTATCCAGATTTAGGACCGGTCAATTTACCTTCTGATAAACTGTCAGGTAGGCAATCTGACGGAAAAATACGTAGTCTGTAATCCCATTGTTCGGCCAGTTATCGGCTGTCCAATAGAATTATAGAACGGTGAATTTATCTTGCAGATAATTACCAGCAAGTTTATCTGAAGATGAATAACCAGAGCCTTAGAAAAATAACTATAGAATAATAACAAATATGCACAAACTATAGAATATGATGTTTTCAACAATGTATAATGCTTTGTTTTTCTGGTCGGTTTATGTAAAACTGTGAAACTATTTCACATAGCCTAGGTAAGTATACTGTTTGTTTCACGAGGGTTTGTACTTTTGCCTTCCTTTTTTAACAAATAAAAATTGACTGAAACAAATTAATGACGTTAAAAACGTTCGTCTGTTTTTAAATCAGAAATTATTCAATACAATACAAAATCAACGCTAATGAATTTATATGAATCAATCTACGACAAACAATTTTTTCTAAGTTATGACATTATCGATGTCATAAGTACAAACCCTCGTGAAATGAACCTTACATAGTTATCATGGCATTACATAAAATTACATGGCATTATGATGTAATTACTGCATTACTTTGGAATTACCAGAATTACTCATGTAATGAGCAATACATGTACAAATTTTGGTCCAGTTGTTACCCCCTCGTGTGATGGTTGATAAAACTGGTTTATTTGTAGTAGATATTGAAATTATAGCTTTTGCTGCTACATTGGTTGGTCATTTTGTAGGTACACCTGTTTTGTATCTGAGTCCGACATAATAATACACATACATTTTTTTGCTAAATATTTAGTAAAGGAGCTTCACCAAATGTATAATAGGAAGGTACTTACAAAGTCTGTACTTACTTATCAACTGCTTCATCTAAATCAACACAGTTGCAAAAACAGGCTAAGATGTGGTTCCTTTCGTTAAATATATCATAATATTCACAACAGCATAGGTCTGCATCCTCATTATTCATAATTATTATTACACACACATATGCTTAATTAATATAATATTCAAAAAACTACATTAAAATATTATTATTCTTGTGTGATTGTTTGATTTTGATGATAACGATAACTTAGTTAAAACTAACCTTAAACTTAAACGCCTCTCTTCTTTTTTTTGTTTTGTGGGTGGCTTCAGGCGTTGATTCTCAGGGGCGCGTTCAGATTGAACGTCGGGCGTCGTCGTCGTCCGGCGTTATCCCCATCCTTTTTATTTGTTTTTCTTAAGATAAAGAGATAATGATCGCCGGGCGCGTCCGACGTTCAATCTGAACGCACCGCAGGGCCGAGTTCAGAAATAACGCACAGGGTGCGAGTGCGATTTTATGGGTGTGCCTGAATTGACAATTTGCCATTGGGCCCATAGCAGCATCTAGCATTTTTGAAACGCTAGGGCGTCGCACCGGTGTCACACTCACACTGGGTGTGTCATTCCTGAACTCGCCCCAGATCAATGAACTATCCTTGCGTTCGGTATTTTGCTCAAAGAGCAGAGCGTGCTGAGCGGAGCCGTAATCACGTGACCAGCGAGCGCACAGAGCAGTTAAACGCCGTATCAGAGTGCTTGAAATTTGAATAATCGAACGAGAATGAGCCTGCACTGAGTACACTTCTTAGATAAACGAACGGTTAATTCAAGCTCGGAGAACTCATATCAAAATACCGAACGTACGATTATATAAGCTGTCCGCCAATGCTATGACGTCATCTGCAGTCCTTCATTGTTATGCATGGAAAAGATGGGAAACTTGCAATGTTTTTAAGGATTATGATTATAGATTATGATTATCTAAAGTAGGTATCACTATTAGAGGCTTTGTGAGATGAACATTTACTTTAAATGTCCATATTATCGTTTTGGTTTTTATTAAATTATTGAATAAAGCCTAGTACTCATAACTGCGAAATTCGCATTTTTTTGACATTGCTTCGACAATTTGACGTTTGATACACGCATTAAACGTCAAATTGTCAACGCAATGTCAAAAAAATGCGAATTTCGCAGTTATGAGTACTAGGCTTAAGAGGCAATTTTTGGCGAGGATAATCAAGCATACTCGAGTATGCTGGGTTATGTGATGTGTCAATTGTGACATACTCCCCTAACTCCCTCGCCAACAAATTCTGGGCCTGCGAGTGACGTCACGATCAGCAGCTTATAATGATGACGTCACCCGCAGACCTCGATGGAATGCTTGCGATTCAGGCTGTGCTAGTGAGTTAATTTTTTCGTCAATTTTAAATGTAGAAAAGGTGATTTTTGGTCTGTTCTCACAGAAGAAATTAAATGTTCTTTATCTTCGAGTATCCTAGAAATTGATTGTGGGGGAGTTAGGAGAGTATGACACAAATGACACATCACATAATCCAGCAACAGATTATGCTGGGTTATCCTCGCGAAAAATTGCCTTATAATGGAGAAGTAGGTACATATAGAGATAGTATAAAAAATAAAACACACTATTGCAACCTTGTTTCGCTTATATTTTGATGTTTAGAAATGGAAAAATTAAATCATATTACACAAAATCATACATACAACCTTGTGTTTTTCGAGAAACAGAGGAACATACCTATTAATTATGAAACATTTGGTCAATGGTGATTTAGTTAAAGCTGTGTGCTTTGTGGCATTTGAACTATTATACCTAAATTCTATATTTTAAAATAATTTTCACAATCAACAAATACTAAATACTTATATTACCTAAACTAACTTACATACTAAAAATAGAGGTAATTAAGAATAATAATAATACTAGTCAGAGAACGAGGCACCTCTACGATGCGTTTTAAGGACCCTCTATTAGACATCGCGAACAACCACCTAAAAAAAATGTTTTCTCATGTAAATTGACCTAGCGGATCCGATTTTGGAGTTCGCCAGTCGATCTGGAATTGCGAAACTGGTCAAAACCGGCATTTTCCAAAAAATATCCAATTTTATGGACTTTTCTAAATTTTTATTCAACACGTTGTATCTCCCTTAGTTTTAGTCCGATTAAATTGAAATTTTTAGGAGAGCCAATTTAGACCTTTGCTATTACGACTAACATAACAGAAATGCAGAAAAAAAATTATGAGTCACCATAATATATTTTTTAAAAGTTAGTGACAAGTTATGTGGTAGTCAATTCCCAGAAATGCTGAAGTTGCCGATGCTGAGGTTGCATATTCAACCTCAATATATAGAAGATCCCAACCAGGCGCGGGCAGTCTGCTTTTAGATATATTTTAACTTTAATTTGTAACTTGTTAGTTTAAGTTGTAATAATAAATTTTTAAAAAGGCACACCTCCGGTCGTGTTAGTTAATTGGCGCAGTCGGAACGGATTTTCGGGAATCAATATAAATCGATTATATTGATTTTTTCCATTTCAACTGGATTTACCGGAAAAGAATCTAGTGTTGTGACGTTGGCGGAGGTGTTGAAACAGAGTGGACTTTCTGAATATCGAAAACTCCCAATCTATCGTAGATCTGTGGATTATCGTCGACCAACTGATCATCGAGAAATAGAACCAACATTGTCTATTTTTGCAAGGCTCAAGATTTGGAGAGGACAACCATTGCCAAACCGAAACTTCGACCTTATAGGAAATGACTGGAATTGCCTGCCTAATATTATTGTAAGTAGTGTAATTGATTTACTTTCATGTCCGTTGATAACATTGATTCAATTATTGCTAATTTAGAACAATTAAATATATCGACACCTTCAACTGACTTTGATTCCGAACAAAATTTAGAAATTAATTTAAATTTAAATAATCAAACAAGCAACAATATGTCGCAATTCAAACCAGAATACCTAAACTGTGTCCCAGTTTTTGATGGAAATCCGAACGATTTGAATCGCTATATATTTACTTGTCAATCTCTTATAGATAGTTTTTATGTCGCTACAGACCCTCACCAATTTCAAATCATTTATTTACTGAATTCTTTGATCGGCAAACTTAGTGGACAAGCTAAACTAATTGTTAATATTCAAAATGTCACGACATGGGATGAATTAAAAGATATCCTTAGACGTAATTTTGCTGATCAAAGGGATGAAGCTTGCCTAAATAGAGATTTGGTAATGACGAAGCAACATCCGAATGAAAAGCCAAGTCAATTCTATGATCGAATTTTACACATCCTTAATCTTTTGTGTTCATATGTTGATTGCCATGAGAATGTAGTTTCCTCCAAAACATTGAAACGAACATTATATAACGATCTTGCAGTAAAAACTTTTTTGTCTGGTCTTAGAGAACCTCTTGGGACCACAATACGATGCATGCGGCCTAAGAGCTTAATGCAAGCATTGCAATTCGTGACCCAAGAATACAATACGCACTATTTTCAAAATCAAACAAGAAATGCACCTGTCGGACCCAAACCATCCAATTCTAATAACCCAAATAATTTCAAAGCAATACAAAACAGCAATTTTCCACAAACATTCCAAAATTTTCCAGTGAATTCAAACTTTCCTTTCAATCCTCAAAAATCTCATTATGCTTATAGACAGAGTTTTTCATCGCAACCTATAAACTTGCGACCCAACTTCAACAGACCCCCTCAGAGATTCTTTACGAATACTCAAAGTATTTGGAAAACCCAGATCTAACGTTTTCAGGCCAAATCAGCAAACACGATTTCCGGCCCCAAAACCAATGTCAGGTGTAGAAACCTCTACGTTTAAACCTCAAGGTACTTCAAATGCACAAAGTAACTACCAACCTCCAAAACTTGTGTTTGAAGAAGTCTACAACACAGAAACAGAACAACTGCCACAAAATACATACGATAATCAATATTCTCAATACGACAATCAATATTCTCAATACGATAACCAATATTATGACCAGAACAATTATTACTTCTACCCTAATGTGCCTAATGATGGTTGCTATGAAACCAGTGACACTAATAACACATTCGCTGTTAATCCAGAAACTCATGGCCTAACACAAGAAGAAAATAATGACCCCCAATCCGAATATAACCAAAATTTTCAGGACCTTATTCAGACCAACAAGAATCCGTAGGTCAAAACACCCAAATAATTTCTTTTAATATGTCAAACTCTAGCGCACTTTCCTATATTATTTTCCCGGAAAATAACTTAAAATTTTTAATTGATTCAGGTTCAACTAGGTCATTTATAGATCCTAATATTGCCAAAAAACTATATCCAAATAGAATATTCCATGACCCTTTCATTGTTTCGACAGTATTCCAAAAATCTGCTCACCAATACAGTACCTTAATTCCTTCATCAAAAATATTTAATTTACCAAATAATAAAGACCTCAAATTTTATCTTTTTAAATTCCATAATATATTTGACGGTCTAATAGGACTCGATAATTTGAAACTTTTACAAGCAAGTCTAGACTATGACAAAGGTTTTCTCATAACACCACATACTCGGATAAAATTACAATTTCAGGAAACCCAATGCGAATTGAATTGTATTACAATTCCACCTCGTGTCGAACAAGTAATTAGAATTAAAACTTCCATGAAAAACGGTGAAATTGTTATACCACATCAAAAAATCCACAATTGCGAAATCCCAGAATGCTTGTCAATAGCAAAAAACGGATTTGCGCTGACAACAATTTTAAATAACTCTACCGAGCCTGTAACTTTAGATTTTTCACAAGCTATAAAGGTTGAGAACTTCAATAAATACAAAATAGAAGAAATAGACTTGAATAATTTCAATAATGAATGTCCTAGCCCAGCAGAATTAGATCTCTCAAAATTTCGCATAGACCATTTGAATAAAGAGGAACGATATAAGATTTTGAATCTGATTAGAGAATTTTCCGACATATTTCACAACGACGAAGACCCATTAACATTTACAAGTAAGACAAGACACCGTATACGCACCTCTGACGAAGTCCCTGTCTATACGAAATCGTATCGTTACCCTTTTATACACAAGCAAGAAGTGGAAAAACAAATAAGTAAAATGCTAGAGCAAAAAATCATCAGGCCAAGCACATCCCCATGGAGTTCACCTATCTGGGTGGTCCCAAAGAAATTAGATGCCTCGGGAGAAAAACGCTGGAGGGTTGCTATAGATTTTAGAGGGCTTAATGCGAAGACCCTAGATGATCGCTACCCTCTGCC